TGTGTGTGTGTGTGTGCGCGCGCGCGTGTTCATGTGCACGCACACGCAGGGAACGTGCTACTGCACACTCATCTGACACATGTTCATGTGCATGGCGCGAGGGAACGTGCTACTGCACACTTGACTGCGCCCGCAGCGAGATCGAGCTGCAGCCCCCGCCGCACGCCCCTCCCAACTGGCCCTGGGCGCTTGCTGTGCTGTGGCAGGCGGGTTGTTGCACTTCTGTAGAAGCATATCCCTATTGAGGATGCAGGCCGTTTGGAAGCCTGAGTATGATGATTCATGTCGTCACACCCGCAATCAGTGCACAAGGTCTTGCATTCTGCAAGAGCTTGGCACACCTTCCAGCAAACAAGGCAACCGACCCTTGAACCCACCAGGTGGCCTCCTGGGCAGTATCTTCGGCCTGGAAGCGCGTTATGCTGTTGCAGCTTTCTGCAAGAACTTATGCGCACGTTACAGAGAGAATGGGAGTGAAAAAAGTGCACCAACTATTACACAAAACAAAAAAGACAACCTCAAGATGACTGATCTGAGGTGCAGAATTCCTGCGTCGTGCAGAATTTTGACCCGCCTTTGCTGATCTGTCATGAATGCGACGATGGCTAGTGGAGGGCGCACGGCGTAAAAGGGCGCGCAGCCGGCTGGCCCGCCTGAGACGGTAGACATGATGCCAAAACTGGGCCGCTGATGCTCAGTAGTCCCCGATGTGTGCAGACAAGCAGGCCATACATCGGCAGCCAACGACCAAAGCAAAGAGACCGCCCCTGCGGATGAGAAAGAAAACAGCGCCAACCCATCCTGCCGTCCCCATCAACAATTGTCCTGCCACGCAGCGATCGCGGCCCGCGTGCCGACCCCGCACCCTGCGCAACGGCAGGCCCGGCTTCGCCCGCCAGCACTGTAAGCGCGGTGGCGAGCTCGTGGCGCTCCCAGCAATGCGTTGAGCCTGCCTCGCCCGAAAGGATAGGCCCCAGTGGCAAACAGACCCACGCCTTGGACATCCGCCTACGCCTTGGCTGCCTTTGGTGGCGGGCGGTAGACGCCCACGACCATTGCGTGGTCGCGCTCGTACGGCTCCAGGGTCACCTGCGGCGGTTTCGGAGCGGTTTTATTAACGCTGGGTGGGGGTTGCGGTCAACGTTGAGGGAGCCGGCAAGCGCTGATCGTCATCGCGGCAGCGCCTGCGAACGGGGGGTGAGAGCGACCGGCAGCACGCGCAGCCAACACACGAGAAAAGCGGCCCTCTCGTCAGCACATTTTGCGAGGCGGGCACACACGCGTCCATGCCCACCAGAAGCCTCTCAGCACGCGAGCCGCGCCGCCCCGATTGCTCCTTCAGCGGCCCCGAAACCGCCCCCCAGCCCACCTGCTCCCGAGGCTTGAGCTGCGCCTCCTGAAGCTTCTTCACCTCGCGCGCAAACACCGCCTCCGGCGCCGCCGTCGAGTCGATGCAGGACGCCTTGATGCTGATCACGAAGTTGCCGCCGTTCTTAAGGAAGTGCTGCGCGTTGAGGGCGACGATGCGGGCCTGGTCGGGCTGCGCCACGTCAGCGAACACGACGTCCACCATGGGCACCAGCATGCGGTACTTCTGGGGGTGCCGCGCGTCCTCGATGATGGGGATCACGTTGGGGCGCTGCTTGGCCATGTTGACCAGGTCGCGGCCGCTGAGGAGAGGCGGCGTCATGGCCAAGGGGGGGAGGGGCAAGGGGGGCGTCGGCTGAATTTGGCAGGTGGCGACAGGCGGGGGCTGGGGCGGCGCTGAGGTGGCTCTCGCAGGGCTCGACCCCGCCTTGGCTGCGAGTTGTTGATGCGGGCCGGCGGCGCGCGTGCCGGGTGCCCCACCTGCGGTGGCTGAACTCGACTGCGTAGACGGCGCCCTCGGGGCCAACCAGGTCACTGCAGTGGCTCACGCCTGGCAGTCGATGGGGCGCGGCGCAAGCAGCGGATGGATGGGGATTGGAGGGAGTCAGGGGCCGGCCGGCGGGTGTGTCGGCCGCGCGCGCAACAGACAGCCGCCGGCCGGGCCTCGCTTGCGGCTGCAGGCAGGTGATGCTTCTGCAGACACGTGCAGGCCGCGGCTGGCAAGCCGGGCGTCGCTCGTGGCGGCAGGAAACGCAGCGGCAGCGCAGGCAACCAGGCACTGCGTGGCCCGGGGCGGCCCAGCCGCACTCACTTGTGCCGCTCGCGCCTCCGAGGTAGAGCAGCTTCGACCCCGGCTTGATGTAGATGTTGTCGAGGCCGGCGAGGATGGCGGCGGCCAGCTTCGACCTGAAGGGGTTCCACACGCGGTACTCCACCTTCTCCCCCTCGGGCTGCTCCACCGAGACGCGCTTCTCGCCGTAGACTGACACGCCGGGCGCGAGGTTGCGCGTCGTGAGCGAGTCCTCCTTGCCGCGCGCAATGAAGACGCCCTCGTGGCGGTGCGCCTCCACGACCACCTTGGCGCCGCCCTTCATGCCGCCACGGCCGCCCTTCTGCACGCCGCCGCGGCCACCGCGGCCGCCGCGGCCC